AATTTTATAATTATAGTTATTTCTACCTCCTCTAATATAAATTAATTTCTTTTTCTATATAGCTAGCCTTAACTTTAAACCTTTAGTAGCTATTTCCTTATATTATATAAATTAATTTTTTTTTCTATATAGCTAGCCTTAACTTTAAACCTTTAGTAGCTGTTTCCTTATATTATAATTTAGAGATATAAATTTCTAAACCTAAGTTTAGGATTAAAAGTTATTATATTTTAAGAATCTAAATTTCTAAACTTAGGTTTAAGATTAAAAGTTACTATATTATAAGGATCTAAATTTCTAAACCTAAGTTTAGGATTAATTTTAGGCTAAAAACTATAGGATTTTTACTAATATAAATTTCTAAAATTATATTTAAGATTAAAAATTACTACTTTTTAATAATATAAAATTTTAAATCTCTATTATTNTAAACTTATATTTAGGATAAAAAATTACTACTTTTTAGTAATATAAAATTTTAAATCTTAATTATTATATACTAAGGCTTATAATAAATAATACTCTATAGCTAGAAAGTAACTTTTCTATTACTTAAAGTATATAAAATACTATATTATTTTTAAAGTTAATTATATAGTATTATTTTATTTTTAGCTTTATATATATAGTATAGTTTTATAATAAAGTTATCTAATTATATATTATATAAAGACCTATATAGTATTATATAAGCCTAACTTATTATAAATAATATTATATTATATACCTATAATATATCTAACTATCCCTTCTATATCTTAAAATAACTTCNTTCTTTTTATCTTCTTATTACTACTTTTAGACTTCCTTTATCTTTTTATTCTATATATATATAGATTCTAATATATTATTACTAATTCTTTATAAATAATACTTATAATTAATACCTACTTTATTATATATTATTTATAGTTTCTATTTAGTTAGCTACTTTAAAAACTTTTAGTATTATAAATAGCTACTAAGCTAGTTTTCTAAATATTAGTTAAATATTCTAAAAGCTACTAGCTACTATATACCTTTCTATATATAAGTTTAAGATTTTAATAGCTAGGTTTTTATTAAATAGGATTTCTAAACTTAAGTTTAAGATTCTAATAGCTACTTTTTATTAAATAGGATTTCTAAACTTAAGTTTAAAATTTTAGTAGTTAGTTTTTATTAAATAGGATTTTTAAATTTAAGTTTAAGATTTTAATAATTAGTTTTTATTAAATAGGATTTCTAAATTTAAATTTAGAATTTTAATAGCTAGTTTTTATTAAATAAAATTTCTAAACTTAAATTTAAAATTTTAATAGCTAAAGTTTACTAAATAAGATTTCTAAACTTAAATTTAAGATTTTAATAATTAGTTTTTATTAAATAAGATTTCTAAATTTAAATTTAAAATTTTAATAATTAGTTTTTATTAAANTAAGATTTCTAAATTTAAATTTAAAATTCTAATAATTAGTTTTTATTAAATAGGATTTCTAAACTTAAATTTAAGATTCTAATAATTAGTTTTTATTAAATAGGATTTCTAAACTTAAATTTAAAATTCTAATAATTAGTTTTTATTAAATAGGATTTCTAAACTTAGGTTTAAAATTTTAATAGCTAGTTTTTACTAAATAGGATTTTTAAACCTAAGTTTAAGATTTTAATAACTAGTTTTTATTAAATAAGATTTCTAAATTTAAATTTAAAATTCTAATAATTAGTTTTTACTAAATAAGATTTCTAAACTTAAATTTAAGATTTTAATAATTAATTTTTTATTAAACTATATTTCTAAACTTAAATTTAAGATTCTAATAACTAGTTTTTATTAAATTATATTTCTAAACTTAGGTTTAAGATTCTAATAATTAGTTTTTACTAAATAAGATTTCTAAACCTAAATTTAAAATTCTAATAATTAATTTTTACTAAATAGGATTTTTAAACCTAAATTTAAGATTCTAATAATTAGTTTTTACTAAATAGGATTTCTAAACTTAAATTTAAGATTTTAGTAATTAGTTTTTATTAAATAGGATTTCTAAACTTAGGTTTAGAATTTTATAATTATAGTTATTTCTACCTCCCTTAATATAAATTAATTTTCTTTTCTATATAGCTAGCCCTAACTTTAAACTTTTAGTAGGTATTTCTTTATATTATAATATTTAGTTTAAGATTAAGATATATATAGAACTTTAGTAATAGTATTAACTTACTAAAGTTATTTAGCTATTAGCTTCTAGAGAAGCTTTTTAAGCTACTTATAGTCTTTAGTAATATATCTTTATTTATTATAATTATAATACTTAAGGTTTTAAAGCTTTTTATTATTAAGTTTAGTTATTATATTAAGATCTATAGGTCTACTATATTATCTATAAGTAATACTCTAATAGGTATTATTCTAGTTATTATAAGGTTTATTATTATTCTACTAGAGGTTAAACTTCTAATAGGGCTACTATTAGTACTTATATCTAAAGTTTAGTTTTTATTATTTTTTACCTTTTTTCTTATAGTGTTTAAAAAGTTAATTATTAATCTTAATAATAAAGTTAATATATTAAAGAAAGTTTTTAGAATAGTTAATCTTAATAATTTTATCTTTAACTTTATCCTTAAGTCCTTAATAGAATATAAAGATCTTAGTTTCTTTAGTAAAGTTAAGTTAGATATTAAGTTATCTAAGTATAGTAATATATTCTTTAGTTAACTTTATCTATTATAGTTATATAAGGTCTCTCTTAATTACTATTTCTTATTAGAGTTTTAAAAAAAAAAGTAGAAAATATCTTTAAATCCTTTAAAACTACTATAGATATTATAGGTTTTAGTAGAGTATTTATCTAAGGTTTTATATTTAAGGAACTCTTTTTAAATAGGTTTAAACTATTTAAAGGTTTATTTTTATAAATAAGTAGTAGTATAAATAACTTTTTTAGTTTAATTAGTAAAATCTCTATAGTAGAAGTTCTAATAGTTCTTAACTTAGATTAAGAATAACTTAAATTATCTAGAAATATTATTATAAATAATTAAAATACTAAACTTAAGTTTTTATTATCCTCTAATAGAGGTTATAATAATATTAGTAACTATATATAAAGTATAGATTTCTTCTTAGAATTCTTTAATATTAGTATTACTATTTTATTCTCTAAATTAAATAACTTTATTTTCTAAGTTTATAATATATTAAGGGCTATTTCTTAATTATTATATTATTTCTTTAAAGTTTTAAAGTTCTATAGTAGTTTTATTATATATAGTCTAAACCTTAATAATATTATTATCTCCTTTCTTAACTCTAACTTAAAAGTATTTATAAGTATCTTTCTTTAGAGTTACTTTATTATTAAAGTTTATTACTATAAGGGCTCCTTTAAGTTCTTTAATTAGGTTTTTAATTAACTACTATAAAGAAGAGGAGGTCCTATTAATAAATAACTTAGTAGAGGTATATAAGAATATACTTATTATTTTACTATTAATAAGTATTAATAATTAATTTACTAAATAGAAGTAATTAAAATATTATAGTTAACTATCTAATAGTAAAGTTTATTAATAGAAACTAAGGATTAATATATTATAATAGTATTCTAAAGTTATAGCTTAAGTTATAAGTTATAAATTAATAATAGATTAAGTCTTTAGAAGCTAAGGTAATTAGTCTTAGATTTAATAAGTATTTTATAATAAAAGTAAATTAAGAGTATCTATAAGGATAAATACTAAGTTAATTACTAAAGAACTATAGAGGTATATCCTTAAATAAAACTTAAGTTATACTATATATAAGTCCTAAATAGTATCCTTTATCTACTTTTAAGTAATTACTTAAGTATATAAGTAATTATAATTAGTTAGTAATACTAACTAATTACTAAGTATTCCTTCCTATACTCTACTAATTATTTCCTTATTTTATTATTATATAACTTATACTATAGTTCTTTTATTCTAAGTAAGTCCTTATTATTCTTATAGTCCTATAGTATAAATATTCTATCCTAGCCGCCTATCGCCTAAGTAGGTTAGTTAACTATTATCTATACATAATAGGTCGTAACACTATTCTCACTAGGTGGATTATCTATTTATTTAGGCCTCCCCTAGTAGCTAAGAAGCGCTAATTTAACCCCTGCAATCTAATAGAATCCTAGCCTAAATCCTACCTTTACGTAAGGGGTCGGCCACACCACTTTATAGCTAGGCGCGCCTAACGCTTATAGCTAGATTAATTAAGCCACTTCACGCACACTTCGCACTTTTCTCCAGGCGCAAGGCTGCCTCAGATACTTAAGGGCATCACAACAATAGCCTCTTCTTACCCTTAAACCATTCATCACAGGAAAACCTACCTTATAGTGAATATGCATCATTGGTCACTCTCAGGGCTTGCGCTCGACCAGCTTTGGCAGGCTTGTGTGCAATGGGCCCTTCTATCTATCTACTACCACGGCCTGTGTGCATTTCAATTCGACGCAACCGCTGGACCATCACACATTATATCATCAGGCTCTTTAGCCTTCAATGAAATATCCTGGCTCGCTGGCAACACAATCGTGCTGGGTTTCCAGTTGTTGCTGCTCGCTCGCATGTGGGCATGGTTCCAGACGAGAGCCGCGAGGCATTCTGGGGAGGCTGACGCTGACGTTAGGCTCGAGTTGGCCACTCTCATCAATTTGTTACCCTGGTGGGGTCTTCTCCGCGGATCCCGTTCCCTGCATTCCTTATTACGAAAATGGGCACCGTCTCCAGTAGCAGTGTACCTAGCTGCTTCGCCATTCACGGCGTTAGGGTTCGCCGGCTTCCTTTTTGCACAGCTTCTGTGGATCGATGTCAGAGTTATGCGACTTGGGACCCTGGTGTTTCCGCTTCTTAGTATCGACTCCACAGCGTCCGTCTGCGCTATAACGACTGCTGGCTTACTATTCGATCCGCAAATAACCCGTACCATCTTCACTGGAGTTCACAACAAACCTCGATTTGTCCTCGCCTCCTTTCTTATGTGGCAAGCCACCATTAAGACTTCGCCTTACTGGTACTCCTTCGTCATACTCCCCCCTTTGAGTGCTGCCATCGTATTGAGCTTTCTGCTCATTCGGCACACCCCTGAATACGTTGTCGACCCCATCCCATTGCCGCCCTCTCCCACAATTCCGATCAAACCATTCTGCCAAGTTTGTCACAAGACCATCTTAGTCATATGGAGGTCTGGTGCTCCCACATCTAGGGCCCCATTCACACACCACTTGACTAATGAATCGCTGCGTAAATCAGCTACCGAAGGCTGTCGTATCTGCGCAACAATCTGGCGCAGTTTGACCACCCGCCAGACGAATCTCTTGAGTTACGCTTACATTTTAGGACGCATGACCACTTGGGAGGTTTCCTACGGTTGTTGTATAATGATCCGATCTGGATCGTACTACAAAGTATGTGCGTTCAGTATTATGGACGTGACGGAGTGTCAACTGAGCCTTCCTTTCCTCCCACGACCCCTGGAGGACCACACGGGATCTGACACTAGTCTCAAGCTAGCCAAAGAATGGCTCTCGACATGCATGCAACACCACCAGTCTTGCTGTGCCAACACCAATGTTCACTTCCGTCCTTCGCGATTATTACACCTCAGTGCCGGCCACCACGTCCGCCTCCACACATCAAAAGATTATCCGGAAGCATTCTCCTACATGACGCTGAGTCATTGCTGGGGAAACGCACAGTTCATACAGCTCCAGCAGAGCAACCAACACGCACTTCGACGCAGCATCCCTTGGAACTCCCTCCCTCAGACTTTCAAGGACGCTATCCGTATCGCTAGGTATCTTGGTACCGAGTACCTCTGGATCGATAGTCTCTGTATCCTACAAGACTCCTCCGAAGACTGGCTGATTGAGTCGGCAATGATGGGCAGCATCTACAAGAACGCCACCTGCAACATCGCTGCTTCTGACGCGTCTGATAGCTGCGAAGGCTGCCTATATCCTCGAAATCACCGGACCATACAGCTGGAACGCCTGCCCCGGTACTCTGAACGATTGAACGACTTATACCTAGGAACCTACTCCCAGGGCCAATCCAATCGGTTGTACTCCCGCGCCTGGGTGCTCCAAGAATCTATGTTAGCACGGAGGACTCTCGACTGCGGCAGGGAACAGCTTTTCTGGCGATGCGACGAAACCAAGGCGTCAGAAGAGTTCCCCGAGGGGCTCCCGCGCCAACATCATTGGCGATATACTCACCCGTCCCATAGCCTTTTGGGATTGTTGAACAGCCTCTCGAGCCTCAGTCTCATGGCGAAGGAGATGAAAGAATGGGAAGCCAGAAACCAACAAGCACTCCAGACTCCCGGCCACCGCGGTAACAGTAAAGTAATCCTCGAGGCTTACAACGGTTCGGGGTCGCCATCCATGTACTGGTACGGCATCGTCGAGATCTACTCGCGCATGTCGTTGACCAAGGATACGGACCGACCTATTGCCATAGCAGGTGCACTAGACGCCTTTCGTCCATACCTCGGTCAGTATTGGGGAGGTATATGGCAGCATCTTCTACCCCTCAATCTTCTCTGGAGCACCCAAAAAGAATTCAATTTTTCACCACCGCCAAACCGCTGCTACAGACCGTCTCCTAGGCGGGGCCCCTCCTGGTCCTGGATATCGCTCGAGGGCCCTGTTTACATCGAACAGTGCGAACTCCAACATGGTGATGAGCTCCTCTCGCAGTTCCTCGACGCCGAAGTTGTCTCTGCTTACGATATCCGCCTGCTGATGAGGGCGCCTCTAATACATGCCACATGGGTAGAGTGGGTTGGCGTCGTGCCACGCACCTTGCTGGCCATGGGCCTCAGGCCTACCATCCGGGGCCTGGGCATTCTGGACTCAAAGTGGCTAAGCCAGTGGCGGGTTTCGCCGAACCCGCTTGGTGATGGCGACGTAGACGCCTCTATTCAGCTCTTCTTTGACGTCAGAAGCTTTGAGGGGACGGTCCGCGATATCGATCTGATGGCGATGCGTTTTAGATATGAGATGGTCGACGGGTTGGTTCTGCAAAAGAATACCGACGGATCTTTCACCCGCGTCGGAACTTTTACAACGTGTAGTACTGCTGCTCGAATCTTCCGACAGGTTGATGACACGGATGTCATTTTGATTTGAAGCTGGTTTGGTATTCGATACGATCCTACCTATCACATTTCTTGAACTTGAGGTCCATAGCCAAAATACAACTATCCTCAGGCCCCAGTCGGAAGGCCCTCCAGCTATGCATCGATGCTACCAAACGCAGAGGCCCGGGCTTTGCTGTCTGATAGCGCAGATCAAGGCCTAGACAAGTACTATCTTAACTACGCTAGTAGCTTCAGCCAACCACACCGTTGTGACGAGACGATATAGGCAGCAAACCTCAGCCATCAACTTGTTTACGGTTGCACCCTCACTAATCCCGTGCAGCCCCTGTAGTGTGAGGTTGTCTGTAAAACCCGATGAATAAGACAACGTACAAGTTGGGATTCGCGATCGCTTGGGATTCTTCTTGCAAAACATTAACAATTTCCAAGTCAAGCTTCTCAGTCAGGCGTAGCGTCGCCAGAACCACAAGCGAGCCCAGAGGCCAGGAGCTTAAGAATGTCAAATCGACAGCGACTCCAGAGCATCACGGACACGGTGCCGCCAACATCTGGGATGAAGCATAGACATTCATTCAATCAGAGGAACTGGACCTAGTTGAACGACCAGCATTATCACCTCAGACATTCTGGGTGAAGAATGTGATGCCGATCAACTCTCTGGCAACGACAGAAAAGAGCAGCATCTGCATAAGGCTGACTTGAAAGTGACATCCGCTAAAGCAGCTCGTGCTGGAGTTTGGCCTAGCCCTCCCGCATCTCAACGGCGCTGTGAGTTTATTCGAGGCAGCAAGTCTGCACCTGGATGCTGATATGAACTCGAGCGGCGTTGTGTTCGACGTAGGCTTTGGGGGCCTTCTGACCTCGAGCGTGAGTTGCACATTATCCGATTTTCACAACTTGAGCGCCACGTTTCAGCACGGTATTTATGGCTCTATATCGCTACCCTCGCGCGGTAGTGTTAGACTAGGTTCCGTTTCCTTGCAGGCATCAGTCGATGCGCACTTCGCACTCAGTACGAGCTCGTCGGACGCCGTGCTTTGAGTTTGGGCCAGCTTGGATCAATAAGGTCGTAACTTCAGTGATTTCACCCCGGCTGTACAGGTTCAAACCGTAAGCGATCTTCTGTTGTCCATCGTCTATCGTCCTTCGTCAATAATATCGAGCGAAATGCCGGGCAACTGCTCGGCGACCTGCTGATTACGGCGGGCTCGTGCGCAGGCAAGGTTGAAGAAGACATCCTCACGGCAGTTGATTTGGTAGCCAGGGTCTGGTAAAATGCATTCAGCCAATGGGGTGGACAGGCAGCAACTATTTTGAAGGCCGCTTCCGCGCCGAGGAGAAAGCTTTAGGTTTCCAAAGTGCTTTTGACATAGCACCACTGAGTAACGCGCCAGACATGCAGCAGACCGGTACTTACACTCGCAATTTAATCCAACTCATACGCAGAGGGGCGCAATACTGAGCAAGCGTGCTACCCCTTTGCGGATTTGATAGTAGCTTAGCTAGCGGCCTACCGATCGCTCGATTTAAGCTGACGTCAGCAGTCGTGAAGCGGGGTTTGTGAAGAAAGCTATCTTAGCTGATGACGGTTTGAGTGACCTATTCCGCGACCACTGTGGATGGAACCCGTGCTGACAAACCTAGAGGCCAATGGAACCTGACATAAATCCATCTCTACCTTGCGGCTGAGGAACTCATCCTTCATCCTTACGGCAGGACATTATGGCTTCGACCATCAAAACAATTGTGGCCACCGGCGCCACTTCAGGCCTAGTACGCCTCTACTACTCTGTTAACCTTTCGGCGAGCTAATCGGTTGTAGGGCTTCGAGGCCATCAAGCAGCTCCTGGCACAAACACAGCCATACAAGTTCATTCTCGGCGCGCGCAATACCTCAGCGGCAAAGGCAGCATACGATGGACTGCACTTTGACAGCTCGCGACACAGTCTCAAGGTGGTGCCGCTCGAGCTGTCGAACCTCAAGACGGTTCGATCATTCGCACAGGAGACGTTGGACTCCCTCGGCCAGGACAAGCTGGACTACCTATTCCTAAGTGCGGCGCAAAATAAGGGCGCCGAGGCGAAGGGGCCTTTTGGGTCTAATTGGTGCGAATCGTATATTGTGAATCATCTTTGTACGTCCCCTCTTCCTTAGGAGTCCCTAGAGCTACTAGAATTCGAGCTAACATCATTTACAATTCAGCGCAGCACTATCTCCTCCACCTGCTCAGGGACAAGCTCGTCGAGTCGCAATCGCGCATCATTTTTGTTAGCTCCGGAGCGGTTCGCAACGTTCCCGATATTGGTGTGTTTCCTGACCGCCCGAACTTCACTCCCCACTAACCAAACCACGCAGGCGTCTTAGATAAAGATTTGCTTGGGGGCGCCGGGACCAAAGACACGACGATTTATTGCGAGACCAAGTTTGTGCAGCTGCTGAATGCTCACTGGTGGCGACGTCAGCTGAAAGGGTCCGCCACGGTAGTTGCTGTGAGTCCTGGGCTCATCCCTGGAACTGGAATTGGCAGACACAGCTCTTTCAAGTTGACGATGGATATGCCCGATGCAAAGAGCGTGCCCGAAGGTGAGTGGTCTTGTTCTCTTTGCATGTTAGTGTTTTGTTATGGCTGGAAGAACTTACATCTCGAGGCAGGCGCATCGAATCTTTTGCGGGCCTTCACGATCTCGCATTTCCCGCCAGACGATGCCCAGATATTTTTGACTTCATGGGGCGAGTGGTGGAGCAAAGACGTCTTTGCAAATACCTTGGATGAGCAACTGCAGGCTAAGTGGAGCCTAAGCATTGAACAGATTGAGAGCGAGGAAGGCATAGCTTGAAAACATCTCGAGATCGTGCGGCTTTGAACTGGTTTGCTAGACTCGTTGTGTAGCAGATCGGGTGCACTGGTGAACAGATGGCTTTGATACTCGAAAGTTTGCTTGGCAACGATGCTGCGCGAATAGCCTCCGCCCTGACTAGCGCATTCGGCTGTAGTGCCGATCAGATGAACAGCATGCTGCGCCAAATCGGCTTCAGTGCAAATGAAATAGGCCAAGCCTTTCAATCACTCTGGGGAGAATTTACCAACCCTGGTCAGTTCATTCTGCGTGATCTCAATCCTTTCTGAGTGGAACATGCGAACGAAAATACATTTGTCGGGTTAAACAGCGTTTGTGATCTATATACCATGTTGGTGTAGAACCCTGCCGGCTCGGATCTGAATCTCGCCACGTGAGCCCAGTGTCGAACCACGCGCTTATGACCTCCAACACCCGCCGGAGGTTATGACGAGCGTAACACGTCTCCACCACCTTCGCAGTAGTCAAGGTCGCCGTCAGCGTCAGGGCAGTCGTAGGCACTGGCGTAACCTCCGCGTAAACGCAGGCGCTGAAGCATTTCGCGGCGTTAGGGCAATACGTCGCATATGTGAGCAAGTCGGACGATGAGACTATCATGGCGCCTCCATTGGGTTACGCTTCCGCCTTAACACTGCGCTTATCGCCGCTGCTGAAAAAAAGCGGCACGGAGGTGGTCCCGGACGTGACCATCTCAATGACAACGTCGGTGCTCAAGCCGGGCTATTGTCAGCCATGAAATCCAAGCTGAAATAGCTTTTACTGATCTGACTTATACGGGCGAAGGGGGACTGTCACCCTGTTCAGGAAGGAGCAGTCTGCCAGCCTGGTGCTCAGGGGGGGAGTATAGCTCGCTCTACCGCCAACGCTGCGTCGAGAAAGATCATGTTCGGAGACTCCGGAAAGAATAGAAGAGGCAGTTATGAGGGCGGAAAACTCCACGCTGTAACTGGCTGGGCAAGATGATCAGAAGGTGGAAATAATGATGCACAGGTGCTACTGTTTATGCCTTGCATCATGTTTAACTTTTCACGGTGTCCTTCTTAATCAAGATGAAACACTATTAAATGAATACTTAGACTTGTCAATCAGCAGGCGGTCAAGGGTGATGGTGCGTGCGAGGTTCCGTTGCGGGACGCTTCAGCTTGCAAGCCACGATATTTCCACATTGGGCGGTAAACCCCAGCGGCCTGGAACCTGGCGGGGTAGACCAAGGTGAACAGAAATTCTGATACTGCCCAAGTCTTAATTCTAGCTTAGTCGATGAATCCCTTGCATTTCTACGTCGTTTGCAGTTTGTATGTCTAAAACAGACTTAATAACAACTTTTGCTTGAGGCCAGCTTTCAGCTTAAAGTTCTGTGTCTCTACTAAGTTGACAGAGAAGCGGCCTTCATCTCCACCTTGCTAATTCGGCTCAGGTTAGCTTGGTCCCATGACGCTTAGGAGGATGGGCTGGCAGACTCTGAGATGAATCTCACCGTGGAATCTGGATTGTAGGAATCCTTGATACGTATCAAATGATAAAACTGTACGCACTCGTAAGTCATGTTGTAGGTTATTAGAAGTCTTATCAGCAGACGCCCTAATTGGGAATGAAGTACTATCTAGAGAAGATGATATCGGGTGCTTGATATTCTTCAGGCTACTCAGTATGGGCTGCGAGCCCCTGCCATCAAACATCTCCGCTATTGTGTTTGGACATTTTGAATGGTATAGCTGTTTGACAATCTACTTGACATAACAAACAGCGGTTCTTCCTGCCATCCGAGGGGCCAATATCCGATAAAGACAAGCACAGGAGACGCTGAAAACCATGTACTAAGCCTACAGGCCTTTCCCAATTCTTGTGTTTGTTATGTTCTCGTTTTGCTCTCCGCTAGACTACACCGCCGTAATCATCACTCATAAGGCTTCCTTGGATAGTCCAGACGCGGAGGCTGCACACCTGAAGCATCCCCCGTCCATCCAATCAAGGATTCCCTGTCGGCCAGCTGTTCGGGTACCTAAGGCGTGGTCATGATAGCTTCGTAGACATCTGGTAAGGTTAATTCCTGCCTCACTCAATTTGATCGACAAGCCGCTTAGCAAATGTTGGTAGCTTTCGCGTCCTCATTGACTGTCATTAGGATTGAGATTCTCTACCTGGGCGTGTACTTGTAAACCCGAGGTCACAGCCCAGGTATCGCACATCAAGGGCCTGAGCCTCGGGCCGCTGGCTCTTGGGGTCTTTGGCCGAAGCCTGAACCTCGCCTGGGATTCACGCAGACTGCCCGCTGCAGAGCAGGGTATTTGGACCAAAACTTTCGCGCCTCTTCCGGGGCGAATTCATCCCGTGCCCAAGCTCTGGCTGCATCTCATAGAGATAGACGGATATATATAGAACGGCATGGGAGTAAATTGGTTTTATTGCTTGTGCTAGTTCTCTGTATAGTCGCTAAGATTCTAACCAGCCTCCTCTTGGGAGATGATGAGAGCTTCCTCTTGGAGAATTGGGTGTTCAACTGTGTTATGAGTTCTACTGGTAAGTTGCTTGGAGATAACGCTGACCTAGTTGGTGAAGCTCACTTCATCCCTCACCTGTGGTAAGACTTAGTTAATCCCAACAAGAAACATAAATTTTAGTTTTAACAGCTTCATAGCACATAATGTGTTCCTCTGTGACATGCCAGCCTTGAGTAACCCCTTTGAATTTATGATCGATAAGAAGGCGCTTACCGCTTGTGAGTTCGTCCGCGAACGCCTCCAAGCCTTGATTCCAGGGAGCCAGACGGAATCCGGCGATACCACTGATTTCCTCGCTGTGTCAGGAACCTCTGCTAATGCCACGGCGCCAGGCCAAATACATGGAACGACCACCAGCTCCTCCTAATCTCCGGCCTAGGCCCCAATATCACCGCCGCTGTGAACTGGATACTTAATCACCTCCTCGAGGGTAACAGCTATCTCGCCACCTCCATCCGCAAGGAGGCCGAGAGCTTCGTGGAGAGAAGTGGCGGGGAAACCGATCTCTACCGCGTCTCGGATGAGTCCTGGCTTCTGCAGGCCACGTGATACGAGGTTCTCTGCTTCTACGGCATCTTCACCCTGGGCCGGCACCTTCACGATGAGGGCGACGCAAATGTCGCGAGCGAGGACACTCTGAAGCGTGGCGCATTCGTTCTGACGCCGCTGCGACTGCGCCCCTTTGACCGGGCCGTCTGGGTCGAAGACTCAGAGGTATTCAACCCACGAAGGTTCCCAGACGCCGTGGGACAGGTGGATGAAGGGCGTACGAGGAAATTGCGCGCATTTGGGGTGTTCGGGTCGCTCTGCCCCGGGAGGTTTCTGGCCATACACGTCGCGATGGCACTTGCTGTGAGGCTGTTCCTTGGGTTTCAGCTTACGCCAGTCAAGAGACCGCACATCGTGCCTAGGGGTTGTAAAAGCAATGTAGGGTTAGCCAGGCCGACGTCGGATGCTGAGATTTGGTCAAGAGGCGCGAAAACCCTCGGCAGATTAATGTCCGTGTGGAGGAAAGGGCGATATTTAGAGACAATAAAAATGCATGACCCACACATCCCCATGTTCATGTGTTAGGGCAAATTTTTATTTGAAATATCTTCTTTCTTTTGATGCCGGAAACGATAACGCAACACCATCAAGACTGTTCGCTCTACCTGCTTTCTTGTCGTCAATATTTGACGCCTGTGGTCGCAGCAGACGCGTGAGAAGCGGCGAGTGAGATTCTAGATCAAGTCGCGCAGATTCAAACAACCGTCGATAAGGCGTTAGTCCGTTCCCCCATAGAGGTATTTAAGTAGCAATAGCTAAAGCAAGAGTTCAGCCAAGGCTGTTCTTATCCCATCACAGGTCCTAGGCTTTGAGCTCATTTGGGCACGCGATACACGAGCCGTTCGGCAACATTTCCTCTTTGGGGCCAGAGACGAGTGATATTTGGAAGGGATACATGAAGAGTGTAGTTCGGAGCGGCAAGCGAGAAACCGCGGAAGTAAGTGTGATTATGAGGAGGGAGTCATGCATGCAGTAACATAAATTCTAGGGGAAAGCATGTTTCTTTCTTTCTCGGCTCGAAATCAACAGCCTCGAACACGCATTGTATTGCGTGGACAATCCTATAATCTACTAGGTATTCCCACTAGAGATTAGATTAAGCCTAATACTTATTCACGCAGTAGTTCATCGTCTATGATACTAGCGCGTAATCAGACTCATAGTCATCTTGAGCTGGCTTCAGTTGATCTGCTGAGTTTGCTTTATACAATAAGTAACCAGCGACAATTGGGACACAGGAACTTCAGAAACATTTAGCTTGCGTACAGAACAGGATGGGCGGAATAACATCACCTACCACGACTACTCTTGATGTGAAGATTGCCGTGGGGCATGGATCCTCTAAGAGGCTCGGGGTAGGCTCACGGAGAGGAGGGCCAGTCTCCACTCATGGCGCAGGCACAGAGGTGTAAGCGGAGCCGGGGGCTCCGGCTCCCGCTCCGGCTGTAGTTCGGCCGCTTACGGGCCCCCATCTACATCCGGGCTGGCCAATGCCAGCATATCTCAATAGACCCTTGAGCCTTACAGGCACTTCCGTTCTGCAGGAGAGGAAACCAAGACTACCATCCCTACCTAGCCGTCCGCTTTGCAAAAAAGCGGGGCGCAAACCTAGGCGGCTGCCGTTAGGATTACGCGCTTTGATTCCTGTAAGTTGTAGGCTAGGGATGTAAATATATGCATGGGAGTCGCTATTGATATGACTTTCAGATGTCCCTTGATACCCTAAGAATGCTCCATTTGATGGGATCTAATGGATATTTCACATGGCTGCGCATGCTAACGTGATACTGATATGGCACTGAGACAACCCCTATCGTTTCAAAACTAATATCCAAGACTTGAACGACACATGCAGGTCACAACAGATTTGCCAAATGCACAGATTGAATTGATCCTTTTCCTGGCGGACCGACCTTCGGAATGATTCGTCTTCCGCCCTTATTCTCAGTTCGATCAGCCGGCCGACATGCGTTCTCATCAGTCAGGCAGATGTGGGAAAATTCCTGCGCTCGAACTTCGACCTCGGCGCATTTTACAGCTGGATGAGCACGGAAACTGCTATTGACTGTTAAGGATTTAGCTAGTTTGACTTCGTCAAGAGAATCAGGGTAGATGCTGAAGATGGCATCATCCGCATTCTCCGATCGATCAATGTGAATGATCTTATTAATCAGGTTGAAGCCAAGAACTCTCGCGTTCCACTTGACGGCGGCATGCTGCATAGGGGTCTGGGATGGTCACGCCAACCTAGGTAGTCGAAGACCCAATTAGGGACGACTTAGGGTTAAACATAACCTGACAGATTTTCTCAATCAGCGCAATCTCATTGCATGTTTGCTCAAGCTAAAACTAAAACCAATAAATTTAGGATTATAAACATAGCAACTATTGCATAACTTCATTCAAAGTACAAGATCTGGGTTTTAGAGAATGATTTTTCTTCCCTTCTAACTTTTTCTTTCGCAGAAAATATCATTTGCCTTAGTAACAATTCGCTTTGGTAAGAAGTTCACTTTACAGACTTAATATCCCTTCATTCTTGAAGCACATCAAAATCCGCCGTTGTAGGTTCGCCTCCATTGCACTTGCTCACATCCATTGGGCAAGCGCTCATAATGATCACACAGTCCTGTTTGGCCCGCAGCACCATGTGTTCTCCGGGTTGGCCCTGCGGGTCTAGACACTGCAATGAATTGCCATGGATGCGGACATTCATGAAGACATTCAATGGATCAGGCATCCATCCATGAGCTAGAAATCTGACTGTCTCCTCGCGCCAGGGGCTCTTTATCGACTGAACTGCCTCATACAGATTTTTCGCGCAATTGTCGTGATCCCATGGGACTCCAAGCTGTACGTATCGCTCAGGAGAGCAGGCTGCAAACAAAACATCGTGCATTCCGCAGGAAGTATCTTCCCTTATTGTCAAGATAGGTTGTTGTCGGTTGTCGAGGAAAGATTCGTTCATAGACGGGAGGAGTTTATGGTGAGTTGAGCGAGTATGTGTCATGGACAAATAAGTTGGAAACGGTTCATTGGTTGAGGTTGAAAATGCCCAGGTGTCGATAACTTGCCCGCCCGTGGTGTTGACAATTTTGATGGCCTGTCCAGCTTGCAGATGCTGGATGGCGAATGAACGAGCAGGAATAGTGGGCATGGCGTCGGCTTCAGGGCCGCACGAAGTTGTTGACAAACGGTTGAAGGATAGTGATGATTTTGACAGATTTTGAAAATAAGCAGTTTGCGGCTAATTTATACTTGGATGATCTCGAATCGTTGCTTGAGTTCGATGAATGACGAACGGGAACCAGTACAGAGTGCCAAGATCCTCCCACGATCCATGCTATAATAGTCATAGTTCACAAAATTCAGCAAAAAGGTTACTTCAGGCTGTCAGGGAAGGGAACTCGAGACGGAATGCATTACATACAGGGGTCGTCCGCCCTTTCGCTCTTGGCCTTTCTCCACACACATCTTTGGGACCCGGTATGGAGTTCGAGCTCCAGCAAATCAAAGAAGCAACTTCAGCCTGTGAATCGCACACCTAAGAGAATCATGCCCTGGGAATGACATGCGTCCTCTCCCAAACCCCACTTATTCATCACCAAGTACATAACTCACGCCGTGCTTGGAATGGCACACTTACTCGAAATGCTACCTCCGGCAAAATTACCATCCTTTCGGCAAGCATTACTATGTTCAACTATCTCCACCGGCCTTTGCAGGCCCATCCGGGGGTATTACGTGTAACATGAAAGCCGGTGAACGGTTTATATGGGATTTGTGTTGGTTTGATTAGGGGGGGTATTCTATATGTATCGCCTTACCCAGGGCATCATAAGTGTATCATACATCTGAACCATATCGTGATCAACATTACATACAACTTGTAATCAACACTGGTTTTGAAATCGTTTGAATGAAGCCAAATGCCCGCGTTATCTACTCGTCTGTCTCGGTCTGCTTGACACCGTTGTGTGTCAGAATTGGCTGGTCGCGGTCCAGGTCATACATTTTGTCCTCCTCAGCGTCATAGTGGCGGAAGGTGAAGTAGAACACAAATCCAATGACGAAGGAGAAGCAAGCAACTCCCGTATACATCCACAAAAACTTGGGATCAACTGCGACCGACACTAGAGCCTCCGAGATGGCAGAGCCGAACGCATTGGTGAAGAGGTAGATGCTCTGAACAAAGGACTTCATGTTGGGTGGCGCTTTAGTGTAAGCGTATTCGAGGCCGGTGACAGAAATGAAGATTTCAGACAACCCAATGAACACATAAGCCGGGGTCTGTACGGCAATATGGACATGGTTAGGCAGAGAAGCGCCATTGCTCAACCCTTCAGGACAGGCACCCGGGGCCTCGTAGCACGGGCCGGCCTTGTAAATAAGATGCTGAACAATGGCTGCATATGCGAGGCAGAGAGCACCGAGCCAAAAGCCAATCGTGATACGCATAATGGGCTTCAGCTCAATGCCAGCCTTGCGCAGGAGCGGGTAGACGACCTTGTCGAGAATTGGGGTGAAGACCAAAATGGAGATTGGGTCGAAATTTTGCATGAAGTCGTTCGGCATTCCATGGCCCTCCATCTGCCCGGCTTGAGTGACGAAGTTCGTCGAGAACTGGCCGTAGCAGACCCAGAAGATGGGGTAGAAGACAAAGACCTTGCAAGCTCTCAGCGCTCTCTTGAGCTCGTCGACAAAGTGATCGTTCCATGGGACGGGCTTGTCCTTGCCATTAGCTGCACGCCATGACGGTTTCGCGGCATCCATATTGCGGGAGGCAATCATCAAGCCAAGAGCCTTGAAGGCATCAGTGATGACAGACCCCTGAGGCGGGCGGTTGACGTAAGTCTTGCGACGCAGCACCAGGGTAGCAATGCCGACGTTGAAGACGCAAAAGCACATCAGGTATGCCGTCCAAAATCCCTTGTACTTTTCCATGAAGGGCGTCGCCATCAGAGAAAGAGATCCGAGGTTAATACACCAGTAGAAGATCATGTAAATGCGCTGGTACGTGACGGCTGGATCGATAATGACTCGCTCGCCGGTCTTCTCCGTCCTGACAGCCATAACGCGACGTTGGTACTGATCGGCAATCAAGGGGGCGATGTTCGACTTGATACCGCCAGTGCCCAGACCGATGACGATAATCGCAACGATGTAACCGGGTTTGCCAGCGCCATTGGCCATGGCAACTGGGAGCGATGTCGTCCAGAGGATGACAAGACCAACCCAGTAAAAGGCGCAAAAGACCAGAATGGTCTTGTACTTACCCAGGTACTGGTCAGCAATAATGGCTCCGAGGATAGGAGTGACTAGACCAGTCTTTGTTAACACTTCTTCTTTGCTCAAAAATTCGTATGAGTGTTCCGCGTACCATAGCAGAACCACTGGAAGAACAGGTTCAGTCCTGTCGCAGCCTGGTGACCCATGCCCAGGCCCTTCGGGCCATCGACTCCATTGGCGTCATTGCTGATGTAGTTCTGGAAAAGACCCTGGGCACCATAGTAGGTGAAGCGCTCCGTGAGCTCAACAACAGCAATCAGGAATGCTGAGGCAGGGAGGCTTTCTCCCACACGGCGCAAGGTGCCCCTCTCGTACTCGTTGGGCTCGGCTCCGTCAGGAGTTGGGCCAGACTCGGCATCCTTCTCAGACACGGGCTCCTTCTTCTCGATGTCGTGCGCCACACGCTCGCCGAACGTCTCGTGGAGCCTGCTCAGAAACAGTCAGTACTGCGTCAGAGAGCCGACGATGTTACGTACTCGGCCACGGTATCCTCGTGGTTCTGGGCCATTTTTACGCAATTCGAAAGGTTAGACCCGAAGCATGAGGTGAACCAGAGGTGACTCGGTGTGAGGAAGAAGACAAGAAGAAAATTTCCAGACGAGATCCAAGAGCAGCTTTTGGCCAGTGGGGAGCATGGGGACTCATTAGTATCTACACTAATCACTAATAATGCCCTTACCCTCGGGCGACTCCGACGTGTTCGAGGCGATATCTTGTTCCACCAGCGAAAAGTTTTGCCCGACTTGGATGCTCGCCCCAGGAACTTTTGCGAAGACGCGCCACAAATCGAACACCGACACAGGTGCCGGACTCCACTCGGCCGAGTGAGCCGATCCTTTTGTGTGGTAATAACGGACACATCGGGTGGTTTACGAGGAATTTAGTGGACTGCTTGGCAAAAGGGCCGAAACGGGTGGCGCCAAGCGAGGTTAAGGGGAATAAGGCGGCCTTGAATTGCACTCTCTGATTGGTCTACGCGCATTTTTCAACATTAGTCAATGCATCTGGTGCCGAGGTCGAAAGGGCGAAGATACTGAATCCGGGGTTTGGGGGACTTTTCACCACGTTACTCCGCAAACGCCACGAGATGCAGACCAACGGGCGGCGGTAGGCTTGATGCAGGAGCGGTTGAGGCTGTCCAATTACTACGTAGCAGTCGCACCCCGAGATTATGTATCGCCAACCCCAAGGGCTGCGACCTTCCCGTCTTGGCGAAGATTGGCAATGCTTGAAAGTCCATCGCCAAGCTACGGGTGGTAAGCCGCATGCTTAGCATCTTCGTTATCCGATTTGTCAAGGACATGATTCGAGGACACGACGTCATGGACTGTCAAAGGGACATCGTCAGGTGCTGCGGCATGCTGCACAAGTCATTGAATGCTACCTTCGGCGTGACCTAGTCTCTGTCTGCGAGTCTGCTGAGTGAGACTGTGAGAGTCGGCTCACTCTCGCCCGGTGTGGTTCATCAGTCCACTGTCCACTACTGTCCACAGCAATTGGGGGTTATGGGCCTTGCCAAAAGTTGTTGCATAGACTTGTGGGCCAGCGAGCAGCAGAGGGCCCTTGCATGACAGCCGGAAATTCGGGTGTGGGTGTGGTGGTGGGCCTCGCGCGCGAACGCCCGACTGGCCGCGTCTGGCTCACGGGAACGTATCTTCCTTAACACCGAAGACTCAGGCTTCTAGAAGCTTTAACAGTCGACCATGAAACCGTGTGCGTTAGTCGGATGCGCATAAGCACATGAGCTCGGCGGTCTTCCGGAGAAGGCCTTCCAAAGCAGATCTGATCGGGATTTTTGAGCATGGGCATTCCCGAGCAATTACATTGTCCACTACTGCTGTGCTGAAAGACGCGATGTCTGCTACGCACACAAGGAGCGGCTCAGCTTGGTGATGTGTTGACTTCGGAACTGTAGCCCGCGCCCCGTCAACTTTGAGCGGCAAGATCGTAACACACAGACGGGGAAAGTGAAAAAGAGATCGAGGAGTCGATTTTCAACATCGCTAGATGAAAGGATATGGAGACTGTCATACGCCACGTGCTTTTAGTCTAAACTGTGGACGGGTCCGTTCATGCGGCGTCCAGACTGCAGGCGGGGCAAATAGATAGAGACATCGGCCACGTTCAAGACCCTTTATCGAGACAGACAATATCGATCGGTTGGTCGGCAAACCGGCGCCGGAAAATCTGAGGCCGATCATCTTGTCTCCGTTCAGTTGATATTCTGGCGGGAATTTTGACAGAAGGTTGGTGAGAGGTATTATTTTAACGTGACCATTGGTGCGGCCGGCCTTGGTCCCCTCCAGACTGTCCATTTCAGGGTGTCAGCAAGTCTTTTAGTGTGTTGTATGTGATCAACACCGCATTTTCCGGTTACGCTCTATTTTCCCTGCCCAGGGGGGTGTATATACACTTATTGTTTCGGCCTATTCCGACTATTTTTGATATCAACACGAAACTGCAGCACCTACGATATCTATTGTGGGCTGTGGTAATTGAATGCTACGAAATATCCACACGCATGATCACAGGATGACCACAATCACGTTGAACTATGCAACCCACTGCTGAAGCCTTACTAGCTACTGGCGTTAATATTTCCACTCCTCTTTGCATACTTTCATGTCGATCGCCGAACGGAAGTTATACTGTTAATCTTCCCGGGGAGTTGTATCTCTCAGTATAGGTACCTAGGACACGAGAAGTAGACCAGAAGACCCAAGGTACGAACGCTTACTACCGTATGCATAACAGGAGTCTACAAAGAAGACTATCATTTCCTTGCCATCACGCAAATATGATTGCGAAAATCCTTCCCATGTACAAAATTGGAAAATGTACTCATCCTCACATTTGATGATGTGTCCA